ACTCTTATTTATATTAAAAAACAAATAAATAAGCAGAATATATCGCTATATGCCAAGAGGCGAAGGAAATTTCATTCCATCGAAGTATATTGACATTCGAGACAAGAATTTATTGGATTGCGATAGTGTTATAACTGAAGAACGAAGTTGATATATTATATTATGATGATAATTATAATTTATAATATATGTATGTATACTTACTGTTAGGTGAATACTGTGTATTTTCTCCAGTAATTGAAAAATTACCTATTGTATATCACAATAAATAATTTTAGTCTAACCAAGTTTAAAGATCTAAAAAATTTTAATGATTTGCCAATTTAATGATAAATGCATTGATTTTTCTGATTGCGGTCGACCCTTAGAACGCAAGGTCAAGCACTCCGAAGTTGGAAGCGGTTGAAAAACAACAAGTCTTTTCATGTTAAATTGTCAAGATGTCAAATACTCGTGACAGTGCTTCTTACAAATAAATCATCCTCTAGAGCCGTGGCTTTTAACACTACTTTGGGACTCTACTACCTGGAAAGAGCTAAAGTATTACAAACTGCATGGTTCTGCCGAAATTGTATAGGAAGAGCATTTGGTGTTATAAAATTGCGCTTTAGATGTTTTCTGAAGCACCGAGATTTGCATTATACACATGATAATTTTGTTCTGTTTGTTAGCGCTTGCGTAATATTTCATAATATAATGACGAGAGCAGGCATGATACTGGGGTTGTAGAAGACTTGGAGTCTTCAATTAATGCTTGATTCCTTACAGTATATACGTGAAGGAGAAGGAACGAGGTCCAGATATATTTCAACTGTAACTCTCAAACAACCAAAATGTAAAGAATTTCACACTTAATTTTCCTATTGGGTATGAGCATTACATCGCGCGGTTCTTTATTGTGAAAAAATTGTTATACATTTAATGTTCAAAGTTTTGCCCATCGATGTTTGCCCATCTTTCTGGCAGTTTGTGGATCCCTTCCCAAAAGAACTTCTCCGGCTTGGAGGTCAAGAAAGAATCGAGCCAATTTCGGATACCATGTTCTGAAGTGGAATGTTCTCCGGTAAGGGCATTCTGTATTGCTCTGAACAAGTGGTAATCGGAAGGTGCTATGTATGGACTAAAAAGCGGGTGAGGTAGAACTTACCACCCACAGTTTTCCAAATAGTTTTTAACTGGCCTTGCAACATGTGGCCGAGCGTTCTCATGATGAAAAATTATTGATTCGTGTCTGGTCGCATATTCTGGTCGTTGTTCCACGATAGCCTTTTCCAAAGGAGTCAATTGTATTCGGTAGAGGTCAAAATTGATCGTCTGACCCGACTTTAATAGCTCATAATAGAGCACACCCTTGTGATCCCACCAAATACATAACATAACGTTGGCACCATGGATATTCGGCTTTGCCGTGGATGTAGATGATGGCCAGGCTTCACATACGATCTCTTGCACTTTGGGTTATCATAATGAATCCATTTTTCATCGCCATTGACAATCCGATGCAAGAATGACTTCTTTTGGTGACGTTGAAGTAACTTTTCCGACATGCAGAATCGACGTTCAACGTCTCTTAGCTTCAATTCAAAAGGCACCCAATTTCCAAGCTTCTGGATGAATACTATTGATTTTAGTCGTCTGGAAACGGTTGCTTGATCAACTCCTAAAACTTTCGCAAGCTTTACTTGCGTCTGGCATGTATCTGCGTCGAGCAATGTCTCCAACTCTTCCTCTTGAAATTTTTTTTGGCTGTCCGGGTCGTTCTCCATCGTCTAAGTCGAACTTGCCACTTTTAAGCCGTGGAAGCCACTTTTGGCACGTTCTTTGGTACGATGGCTTGGGTAGCGCTTTTCTTCATATTAAAGTAATGAAGAAGAACTCCCCGCAAAAACATTTCATCTGGTACAAATTTTGACATTTTCAAATGAATGAAACAAATTGTTGTTCACACTAAAACAAATGACATCTACTGAAATGACGCGAAATGACAGTACCTTTGAGATGAATATAGCCACAGATGAACACGACGCGAAATAATACTAATTAGTGCATACACCCAATAATATACTAGTTTCTTTATTACATATTTGGTTATGTATCTTTCGTTTTTTATAAAAGAAATGAGGGTCATGGATAACAATTTATACAAAAAAATATTTTTATAGTCTGCTTCTACCTATGTCAACTAAGAATAAATGTATTTCAGCACTGGCATCTAACATTAAATAACAACAAATATTGAAAAATATACGAAAGCATACGTTGTAGAAGGATCCATTTCGTAGACAATATAATATTAGCCAAAAACAGCTGATTTCTATTCACATTTCATTGTTCACGACGCGTGTGTCTCATGAAACATATTTCGGGTAAAAATTAGAATCCCAAACTATGTGTATTTTTTATGTATAATTCGTTTTAAACAGTCAGTGCACCGGAAAATATAACATAGGAAGTGTTCAAAAATCGAAGAATACTTACTATATGTTTTCAGCAACGTACCTTACTATTTTGAAATTTTCTCACCAGTATGAAGTAATTGTTAACTAAATTCTTGCATACAAAAAAGGTATCTTTGGTACAACTGTTGGACAGTTCAGCATTCACAACAAAACATTCCCTGTCTGTAGTACTAGACGCCAGCAAAAAAAGGTACATCTAGGTACTTGGCTGTCCACTGATCGAAAACACAAAACCAGACCGAACATGTTGTGATAGACGGAAGACATGCCTCCAGTGTTCTTGACATGCGTACACTCCGAGGACCTAACATCGACTCGGAACATTATCTTGTTGCAGCAAATAAATACGAATGCGCCTCTGTGTATCGAAGAATGCCCGTCAACAAACACAGGGAAAGTTCGACGTTGAAAAGCTGCAAACACAACAGACTGCCGAACGTTTTTCTACTCGACTTGCACTTCTGCTCTCTGAAAGCACTTATCAGCAACTCGGTGTACGGGAACTATGGGACGGCATTTCAAGCTCCCTACGTACAGCTGCAAACGAAGCAATGGGATTTCGTAAAGGTCGCAAAAACAGCTGGTACGATGAGGACTGCCGTGTCGCAGTGGAGAGAAAACAGACTGCTTACCTCGCAACCTTACGGCCGACTACAACACATGCGAAATGGGATAGATACCGAGAGATGAAGAGGGAAACAAGAGGCATTTGCAGACAAAAAAAAAAAAGAGAGAGCCCGAGATGCGGTTTTATGAAGAGCTTGAGAAGCTGGCCGACAAGGGTAATGCTCGAAAATTCTACGAAAAAATACGACGACTTACAGAAGGTTTTCTAGACCGGAACAGACTCTTGCCACCGATGCCCAGGGTATATTGAAATAATGGGCGGAACACTTTTTCAACCTGATGAATAGTAGTGAAAATGGAGAATCTGGAGATGGTGAACCCGAAACCCCAATCGATGACAATGGAAAAGACGTTCCATTACCTGCCCATGAAGAAGTTCGAATAGCAGTCGCCCGCTTAAAAAACAGCAAAGCGGCAGGAGCTGACGGGCAACCGCCAGCACTATGGCGGGGAAGAGCTGACAAGGTGCATACATCAGCTACTTTCCAGAACATGGCCGGACGAAAGCATGCCCGACGATTGGAACTTAAGTATGCTCTGCCCAATCCATAAAACAGGGGACCCCACAGTATGCGCCAATACCGTGGAATAAGCCTTCTTAGTATCGCCTATAAGGTCCTGTCGAGCGTATTGTGTGAAAGATTGAAGCCCACCGTCAACAAACTGATTGGACCTTATCGGTGTGGTTTCAGACCTGGTGAGTCGACCATTGACCAGAAATTCACCACGGGCCAAACCTTGGAAAACACCCGTGGAGCTGCCTCTATGCCGCTATGTCTGAATTTGGTATCCCCGCAAAACTTATACGGCTGTGTAAGCTGACGATGTACATCACCAGATACCATACGAGGTTTCAGGCAGGGTGACTCTTTGTCGTGTGATCTCTTCAATTTGATGCTGGAGAGAATAAGAAGAGCTGCAGAGCTGAATAGGGAAGTACAATCTTCTATAAGAGTGTACAACTACTGGCGTATGCCGATGATATTGACATTACCCGCCTCAACAACAACGCCGTTAGTTATGCTTTCTCCAGGCTTGATATAGAAGCGAGGCGAAAGGGTCTTGTAGTGAACGAGGACAAGTCCAAATATCTTCTGTCATCAAACAAACAGTCACTGCATTCGCGACTTGGCTCCGACGTCACTGTTGGCAGTCATAATTTTGAAGTCGTAAATAATTTGGTCTACCTAGGAACCAGCATCAATACCAACATTAATGCCAGCCTTGAAATCTAACGCAGAATCACTCTTGCCAACAGGTGCTACTTTGGAGTGAGTAGACAAGTAAAATCCTCTCCGAACGATAACCAAACTCTACAAGTCCCCGTCCTGCTATATGGCGCAGAAGCATGGACGATGAAAACATCTGATGAGTCAGCGTTAGGAGTTTTCGAGACAAAGGTTTTGCGTAAGATTTATGGTCCTTTGCGCATTGGCAACGGCGAATATCGCAGACGATGAGCTGTACGAGTTATACGGCGACATTGATATAGTTTAGCGAATCAGGAAGCAGCGGCTACGTTGGCTAGGTCATGCGGTCCGGATGGATGCGAATGCTCCAGCTTTGAAAGTTTTCGATGCAGTACCCGTTGGTGGTAGCAGAGGAAGAGGAAGACCTCCACTCCGTTGGAAAGACATACGTAGGGAATGACCTGCCTGTACTTGGTATTTCGAATTGGCGCTAAACAGCAAAAAGAAGAAACGGATAGCGTAATGTCGCGTAAGCGGTGACTGCGCCAGTAAAGTAAGTAAGTAAGTAAGTAAGACTTAAACATATATTTCTGATTCTTTAATTCCAGTTTTGTTTTCGTTACATCTCGCAAAAGCTTATCTTGACCAACGCTGAAGCTTTTCACGCGGTCAAACCACTCTTGAGACCCATCAGCATCAGCAAATAACTAGAAACGCCAATATATAAAGTCTTTAAATTTTTAATGCGGAGGGGAAGCATATTTTTATCAACATCATGTTTTGTGCATGGTACATAAAACCAATGTATATTTGACTATGATTTTTTTTAAACTGAAAGCGTCAAAAGAAAAACTTATTATATTTACACCTTTTAATAAAAATTTCATTCAACACTAATCTAATTTTGAAATTTTTGGTTTTTGTTATGTATCATATTTAACATTTGATGATAAAAAATGGAATTATCTGAACATTCGCCAATCGAAAAGGGCAAAATTTTTGCCGGTATAGTGTTTAGTTCGTCATTATTAGCCGTATTCACATTTTTAACATTAATTACATTATGCTAATTTTTAATAGATATAAGTTCATCTCATTATATTTCCCGAAATCATCCATCACATGTTGTCCTATCCCTTTTTTAATATTACTTATTCCCGAGTTTAGTAGTATAGTTAGTTTTTTAAAATAGCATTTATATTATTTTTATTTAACTGTATTATCATGTCTATAATTATTGTTTTATTATTATTATGGTTATTGTTATTTAAAGTATTTCTTTTATTATTATTGTTTTCTTCAAATAATGTGTTGCTCTGTTCTATACTAAGAAAACCGGTTCATCTCTGCATAAGTAGATACATCAACACTAGACATCTTCACATATTTTAAGAGTAAGTTCTGTGAAGAAAGAAGAAAGCAAAGTATGATATTATTAAATTTTATGTATGTATAATATCTTAGTTCAATCAAAAACACCCACAGAGCATTTATTCAAGCGTTTGGAACAAAACAACGAATTCATAAATATAAACATAAATTGCATATATCACATATTATATATGGCCTTGAATCTTCGAAAAAATTTTTATACAATAAAAACTTTTTTGTAGTCCCATGCAAGAAGTTGGACAAATAATATCTACAGCGTTTCTTCCATTCGAAAAATATTTCTTGAAACTCCCCGATTGTTGATCTGGGCCCCATCTTTATTGACACCGTTGGCATAGTCGTTAAAGTAAAAGCTGCGATTAGGCTTACAGGAAGCTCACTTCTGCAGCGCTTCAACCATAGGAAAATCCTTTTATAACTTTTTTATGGTAAGATAAAAAGTTTGCTTAAACGATTAATGAGCATTCAGTTCAGACATAATACAAAAATTTAATATGCTAGTATTTGATAATAACATTATAACAAACTCTTTTTTGTCTTTTACAACAACATATTTTAGTGTGGACTAAGCTACTTCAAGTTGAAAACGGATTGATGAAATAAACCTGACACTTAAACTTCGTTAAAATTTTTCAAAGTTTCTTCAGTGTTTCTGTTATTTGGCTGAGTTCTACTAGTTAAAAGATTTCGTACATAGTGTTCAGTCACCTTCGATGATGCATGTCTCGGTTAGCGTGTATGGAAGTCGTTTGTGATATGGTTGAGTATTGATGCCAATATAAAAGGATTAAGATGCTTAATCCTGCAGTTGTTAAATATACAGCAGTTGGCGTAAGAACGCAGCTTGCGCTGGTTTGCATAGCCGCTGGCTGTTCACCTGGATAGCACAAGAGAAATAAATAATTTAATCAGTTTTTACTAATATGTATGCATTTCACAAAATATTACCAGTCAGTACATGCACCCTTACAGATGCTGGTATTGCGCCCATTGGTATGCAAGTATAATTGCCGGAGTCACGTAACGAAGCACGCGTCAGCATTAAACGACTAGTGGTGCCCACATCCGTTTTTTCTGTCTCAAGACTGATTCCGCCACGCTGAGAATCAAAGTCAACAACCGAAACACCGTGATACCTTAATAAAAGAAAAACATGTGATTAAAAAAACCTTTAATAGATTTATTGTCACTGGATTACTATTCCCATGAAAGCTAATATAAAAATACTTTCAACGCCGAAGGGTTTTTGTTTTTCTCCGAGGATGTGTGGTGTGGAGTGAGTCACGATCCTTGCCCAAGAGCAATTGAAAGACATCAGTTTTAAATCAAATCAGAACGACAAACTTTTTTATTTCAAACTAAAAACTCATGGAAAGGAGCTGACATCCTTCCTATCCTCCTATCCTCAATCACTTAACTGAATCAATATCCACCTGTATGTACAGACGTTTGAATGTGACTCATTAAATAAAAATCATCGGCGTTAGGCGGAACACTTTATAGATAGCTCAGCAAACCTAGAATAGAATACGGGCCACACTTGCCGACTATCGACATTTAAGAACTCTTGTAGGTTACTGTTTTATTGGCAGACGCGACAGTAAACTGGATAAAACGACCACTGTAGAAGCTGCCACGAAACAGTAGAAAAAGTTGTAGGCGAGGCACGATTTATTTGACGATAACTAGGAAAGCTGCACAAATAAAACTTTTCTAATTAATTAGCTTTACCGAGACCACAGGGTCGTTTAAACATTTAGCTATCAGTGTCAATGTCGACGAAATGTGTATTAAAATCACTACACTGATGTCTAAAAAGGTCGTGCATTTCAATGTTTTATCTGCATGAACACAGTGAAAGGGGCCTAAAGTGGCCAAAAGGTCTTAAATGGGTGGTAAAGTTAAGCTCGCGGAGTAGGAATGACTATTGACAACACCTCTTATCACTTTAGTCGAAAATAAAACTTCAAGCATCATTCTCCGACTAAGGAATATATTTAGATTAAAAGGTCCTTATTCGCATCCCAGCTTATATTTTTTAAAGCGAATAGAAGGAACTTTTTTTGTACAGATTAAATGAAAGCTAAAACACATTTTGATCTACCAGCACTAGCATGTATATAATACCTAAAATCTAGCCGGGATCGCGGTGGCCGAGTGGTTAGCATTGCGTACTGCCATTCGGAAGGTTCGAGTTAAAATCCCCGTGCAACCTCGGAGAATATTTCTGACATGAAAAAAAGCTCTTCATAAAAAACCATCAGCCGTTCAGAGGCGGCTTAGTGTAGGTCCCTACATTTGTTGGAAAAACATCAAGACACAAAACCACAAACTGGAGGAGGAGAAAATCGCTTCAGCGTTTACAAAGCGCCAATTATATATATATATATAATCTAGCTCATTGCCCATTGTGACACCTATATTGTTTAAGACTATCATGGTGGCTTTAGACCTGGTAGGTCCGCCATTAGCCAGATATTTTCCATGTGCCAAATCCTGGAAAAGAACCGTAAAAGGAGGAGCCGTTTTCGACAGCACAATTAAGAGCTGACTATATGATATGTCTGAATTCGGTATCCCCTCAAAACTTATACGGCTGTGTAAACTGACGCTGGACAACACCAGATGCATATTCATAGAATTGAGGTCGTCAGCATCAACACCAATAGTAATGTCAGCGTTGAAATCAAACGCAAAACTACTCCAAAAGGAGGTACTTTAGATTGAGTAGGCAATTGAAAATAAAAATCAAACTCTAAAAGTCGCTCATCATACCCATCCTCTTGTATGAATGAAGTTAATATTGTAGTATATATAGAAATTTAGCACAAAATTTAAGTACACTTGTTGGACCGGACCATATCTAAGGTTATTAAGATCCCTTTATTCATTCAAAAATAACTTATTAATAATAACTTAATTTAAGTAACAATCACTAGAAACTTCATCAAACATGGAGAGTAGTTCTATCTTACACTAATATGCCGTTTAAAAATACTTATTTCACGATATTATCTTACCAAGTAACGGATAAAGCATGAGTGTTCACCGAACAAGCTATTGCGATTGTACTGTCCCGTTTCACATGGATTTCCGTCGAACCGAGAATTTTCGCTCGTGCCGCTAGGGGACAAAATTTTAATTAAAGAATTAACGAAATTTTTACATCAAGTACATAATATTTTATATGATACTAGCAGACCTCGTCTTAATTACATGCCTCTATTGTGGAGGTAACAAAATTTACTTTGGTAATAAAGTTTACCATTCAATAAATTTTGCACCTATTTCGTATTCTGAGGTCACAGTCATCCTGTAAATTTTGTGACCATTGAAATTTGAGGTAACAAAATATCTTCTTTTTGATTTTTTGTTGTTAGTTTTAGGCCAGGAGTTCATTGAAGATGAAGAAGAAAATGTAAAAAGACGTATGCTAAAAAGTTGTGAGAAAAAAATTGCCCTTTTAATTTGGAAGATAGCGTTTTCATTCAGCTTTTTTTGTCGTTTAGGCATATTTTCCAAAATTGGGTTAAAATCTTTTTGATTTAATAAACAAATAAATTTAACTTATTTAATTTGTTGTACACCGTCTTCCATTTCGATGTGAATGTTTTTTTCTTTACCTTACAAACTGGCCAGAGTACCAAATTCAATTTCAGGGGTTAAAAAGTAACAAAATTTACTTTGCCACTAACAATGAGAATAGGCCTGTGAGAGTGAGAATAAAATAAATGAAAATAGATAGTTCAAATTTGAACGTAAGTTATTTGAATGAACTCGATCAGCAGAAAACAATATGATAGTATACAGTTTTCATAAAATTACTGAAATTAAGCTAAACGCTTTCAGATAAGAAAAGTTCAAGCAGCCCATACGAAAGAAAATAAAAAAATTCTAGCAAATTGAACCATAAATAACATAATTAAAAGCTAGTTTCTGCATGTTTATGTAAACGATAAGCTACTAATAAATTAAATTTCAAGTAAATCGAATCGTAACTAAGATTATCTCGCATGAATCAGTTCCCGAGATTCTCTTAATAAAGTTGAATTTTATTTCGCTTCAGTTGTTATCAATTCAGAAAAAAACTATTAATTGTTTTTAACATAACGGTTTCGCATTAAGCGTGATCGCATATGTCTCGTTGTGAGAGTTGTTTTTTCTCTCACTTGCATATATATATTCTTCATAATTCATTGAAATGACAATTGCTTGGCTTTTACTTCCAGCAAAGTTTCTGCTTAAGTCAACGAATGATGCCATTTATCCAGTTATGGAATAGACCAAGCCTCTGTCGACTTCGGCAAATTTTTTTTATAAATCCAAACTATATAAACAATTTTTTCGAATATATTGGTCCCAGGTACTATTTCTGAAAACAAAAGTAATGTTCCTGTTTAACTTCGAAAAAGGCTACCTATGTATCAAACATCAAGTATATCGACCTTAAAATTAATTTTTTTTTAATACATTAGGCACTGGTCCTTTTCTCGGAAAAAAAAGAGTCTTCCTGTTAATCTGAGCAAAAAGCCACCTATGTACTGAAACATGAAGCCAAGTAAGCCGAAACATAAATAATATTTTTTTTAATGAGTCCGTCATTGGCTCTCTTCCCGTTGGGAACAAGAGTGATCCTGTTAATTTATGCAAAAAAAAACTTATGTGCTAAATTTCAAGTAAATCGAACAACAAATAAGATTTTTTTGAATAGGTCAGTCCCCGGTCCTCTTTCCGGAGAGAACAGCAGTCTTCTTTTAATCTAAACAAAAATACACTTTTGTACTAAATTTCAAATATTTTGCTTTATTCCATAATATCTATTTTATCCTTTTATTACATTGAAACGCATAAAAGGCATGGACACCAATATTTAAATTTTAAGTGTATATATTTACTTATGGTATATATGTATGTACACTCAATTTAAGGAGCGAACTAAAAATAACATACACCGAGATTAGTTTTGTTTTATTATACAAAATTTGTGTTTAATAAACGCAGAAGTCGTAGAAGTGAGTTGTGTGACTTTGCTTAAAATCTTTATATTAGAGAATAACTAAGATTTACCGCCAGTCTTTTGCACTAAATATTTCGGTATTTTAATATTAAGAATTAATATACGACTAAGTGAGATAGAAAATGAGAAAGAACAAACAAAAAAATACAATACAAATCAACCAATAATTTGATCTGAACCGTTTACAGTACACATGGTGGTTGATTTCGTCGATACTTTTTGTCATGTCGACCGGATTCGTCCTGACAAAAAAATCTCCTTGAGATTTAAGTGTTGTTCAATTAACAATTCTGCACCAATCGAAAGCCAAGAAGAAGTGATAAAAAGTAATATGCCCACTGACTCTCATGAGGGTCGTGGCCCAAGACCGCTGATTTAAAACAACGGTGCCATCATTAAATTATGCCTTTCGATTATATGTTGATACGGAGTTATGCGCAGATTTGTTGTTTCGATTAAAAAAATAAGTTCTTGAAAAAAAGATTAAAATTGCCGTCAATGGTCGGATGTTATTTGTTCTTCTTCTTCTTATCCCTTATGCGATTATAGCCAAATCAATATTAGGGCGCATTTCATCCCTCATTTCCGCTGTTTGGCGCTAGATAAAAATACCAAGTGAAACCAGGTCAGTATCCACCTGATCCTTCCAACTGAGTGGAGGTCTTCTGTATCAAATACTTTCAAAGCTGAAGTGCTTTCGTTCAATCGGAGGACATGACCTAGCCAAGGTAGCCGCTGTCTCTCCATTCGTTGAACTATGGCAATATCATCATATATAATAGCCGGTGCGGCTTATCATTCCATCGTTTACCTCGTACACGCCATATAGGAGGACGGTTATGATGAGCGACTTGTAGAGTTTGCTTTTTGTTCACCGAGAAAGGACTTTACTTTTCAATTGCCTACTCAGTCCAAAGTAGCATCTGTTGGCAGGAGTGATTCTGCGTTGGATTTCAAGGCTAACGTTATTATTGGTGTTAATGCTGGTCCCTAGATAGACCAAATTATATACGACCTCGAAGTTATGATTGTCAAGAGTGATATGCGTACCATGACTCTTTAATGACGGGATATATGTACTTCGTCTTGTTTTCGTTCACTACCAGACCCATTTGCTTCGCTTTTGTAGACTGTTAAATATCGAACGACTCGGAGAGGTTCTTGTCATATCTCTCTGTACTTCTGGTGTTCTTCACCGTCAGTATACACAGTTGTATAAGTTTCGCGGGGATACCAAATTCAGACTTAGTGGCGTACATTCAGCTCTTCTTCGTGCTTCCGAAAACTGCTTTACAATCGACGAAAAGGTGGTGTATGTCGATCCTCTTTTCACAGGTCTTTTGGCGCATGGTGGATATCTGTTTAATGGTTGATTTACCAGGACTGAAGCCACATAGATAAGGTGGGATTTAGTCTTTCACACAATAGGCTTGATAGGATTTTATATGAGATATTGAGGAGATTTATCCAAAGGTAAATAGCGCAGGAAGTGGGATTAAGCAGAACACTTTGTTTCCAATATTCGACCTTGTCAGCTCTTCACCTCCATTTTGGAATAGTTCCGCCGGTAGGCCGTCAGCTCCAGCCAATTTGTTATTCCTTAAGCAAGCAGTCGATATTCGAACCTCGTCATGGTCAGGTAATGTAACGTCTTTTCCATCGTCATCGATTAGGTTTTCGGGCTCACCACCTCCGGATACTCCATTTTCACTGCTTTTCGGCAGGCTGGAGAAGTTTTCCCACCATAAACTAAATATGCTCTGGGCAATTGTGGCGAGATCACCTCTTCGCGCCGTACAGGAGTTTCCTTTGAAACCTTCTGTAAGTCTTCGTATCCTCTCATTGATTTTTCGAGGATACCCTTGTCGGCCAGCTTCTCAGCCTCTCCATACTCACGCGTGTCGACCTCTTTCTTGTTTTCTGGTAAATGCGTCTTGCTTCCCTTTTCAGCTGTAGAAGTACGTTTGCGAGGTTTCCTCTCCACTGCCATTCGACATTCCTCATCGTACCAGTTCGAAAAGCAATTGTTTCCAGAGGTTCAGTACGTATGGAGTTTGAGACACCGTTCCACAGTTCCCTTATATCAAGTTGCCGATGAGTGCTCTCAGAAAGAAGGTGTACAAGCCGAGCAGAAAATCGTTCGGCAGCCTGTTGTGATTGCAGCTTTTCGACGTCTCCTTGTGTTTTTTGACCGACGATCTTTGAAGAATGCGTATCTTCGCTACGACAAAATGGTTATTTGAGTCGATTGAAGACATTGTAACGTACGCTCATCTAAAATCCTGGTTACATGCCTTCTGGCTGTAACAACATGATCGATTTGGCTGAAAGTTTTTCGATCTGGAGACAGCCAAGTAGCTTGGTGAATTTTCTTGTTCTGAAATTTAGTACTATGTTACGTCAAGAACAATTTTGACTTGGTGGGAGCAGCGGTCATAAGTATGCTCCTTCTCTTCCATCGGGTCATGGGCATAAAACAGCGTGGTGTTAACAGATTTCGTTTTGACTCGGATTGTGGCGAGACGTTCATTCGCCGGAGTGAATGCTGGTACTGGGCGACGGGGTCTCTTCCACCAAGAATACGATAACAAATTTTCGCTTCTTTGTATGGGCGCTGTAGCAAATGTCACAAGCGCCCACCTTCTTCCGTGCTTGTCCCGTCCATCACATTTCTTGGACTGCGGTGATGTCAACCATTAATTTCATTATGCACCAACGAGCTGGACAGGGGCACCTTTTCACTAGAGGGATTGGACATTCCTGGTGAATGTCCTCAAATCGTGAAACTTGAAACATTTGTGGCATCATGAACTTTGAATAATAGGTGTCGCAACAATGAAAATAACAAAAGCCCTAGCGGCATGGTTCAATGGCCCATATAGAAAAGCAGCTAAAACCAAATATATTCTAAGTTCGAGTTTACACAGGGATACTTTTCATCGACGAAACATTAGTTTGTAGGGGAGGGGGCGACAGCGCACCGTGTCGTTGTACTCGTTCGACACGTTTCGTATTTCTATTCGTCTCTGTAGATTTTGACATTCCCTTTTATTTTATTTTATTCTATTTTTCATTTTGAACTGATTGTAGCTCTCTTAAATTTCAAATGAATATTATACTGTATATATAATTGGCACTATGTAACCGCTGAAACGATTTTCCGTTGAGCTCATCCTCCAATTTGTGGTTTTGTGTCTTGATGTTTTTCCAACAAATGAAGGTACCTACAATTTATACTAAACCGCCTCCGAACGGCTGAAATACACTTGGAGGGGTTGACATTCCCTGCCGAGGGGCGTCCGCAATCATAAAACTTAGCTCACTTTTTTATTTATATTAATTTTTGAATGCTGGTCGCACGGGTATTTGAACCCGAGCCTTCCGAAAGGCTGCACGCAATCCACTCGGCTATAGCGGCCGCCAAATGAAATGAATAAATGCCGTAAATTTGGAAATTGAAATATGTGCGTATTAATAAAAATTTGCAGATAAAGTTGAATTAATGCAAAAAATATTAGAGAATATCGAAGAAGCCAATGAGATTGAATCTGATGATAGTGAAAAGGATAAGATATGTAATTAGATTGCACTTTGGAAATGGTAGACTTGATGTTTAATCAAATGTCAATCAAATCGATAAATAAAAGCTGGGTCTTCTTTTACACAAGTATAGTGTTTCTATTTTAGAAATATTAAATAGCGCAAAGCCAAAAAAATGAAGAGCGGCACAAAACAGGAAAATTAAAATAAGTGACATAAGTGTCCTCTTGTAAACTCAGACTAAAGAAGGATATTCACCCCTGTATGATAAAAACAGCACGGCCAATGAAAAGGTAAAATAGTTGCGAGTGATCTTCTTATGTTGCTAGCTCAAACTGCAAGATCGAGGCCCAACAGTCAGCTGTGTGTAATGCATGTGAACTGCCATACACAATCTTCTAAAACTAATTTTGATGTTAGTGGGTTTTTTATTTTTAATTTTCAGCAGAAGTTTGCTTTAATTATAACTAGTTATAACAAAACGTACAAATTAGTATTGATGACAACAAGAACCCCAGCGCACAAATGGTTCAAATTCTTTCAAAATAAATAGTAGTAAGTAGTTAGTAAAAATATTTATTAACACACAAAAATATTGCTTTACTGCCTACATTACATTAACATTTCTCGCAAGGCTTAAATTTTTTATTCAAAAAAAATTCCATGTAGATATGTTACATTAATAGTGGATTAAAAAATATCTATTAAGTTAAGGATTAGCTAGTCGGATAGAATATTCATTATTTACATTAAAATTGGGTTTCAAGAGTGTGAAAACTAAATTTAATGATTAATTATAAAAGCAAAAACAACACTCAAAATTTTTTATACAATTATGCCCAACTATATTTTCACCGTAGTGACAAGGTTTGAAAAGTGCAAATTTTTCGGCGCTCTCACGAGATCATATTATCTGTGTTCTACACACTCACGGTTAAATTGTCTTTTGCTCTGCTGTTAGGCTGCGACTACCCATTTTACTTACCATCCGCCCATAACAGGCGACGTCAAGGCGAGATACATACACAAGTTATCGACGCTGCTGAGAGCGACGGAATGTTGCCAGCAGCCAGTGTGTTTGCACACTTTTGAACAAATTCTTAATTTTCGTCAACAAATTTCATAATTTATATGCTTGAATATAAACGCAAGACAAATATACATTATCTATATGGTATCAAATAATTAGTTACGTATTTAGTTTTCATTTCTTTTGAAAAAAACTACGCATTTTCTCCGATTATGTAATTTTACATTAAGATAGGCTATACTGGCAACCTTGTGTAGCAACGAAAAATGAGCCCACCCGGTTTTACGGAAAAAATCAAATCGCTGTTCTGTTTCTGTGAAACAACCGTCTGTAACGGCTTGGGTAAACTGTGACAACTTTTTTATTAACATCTCGCTTTTTAAAGATAAGTTGTTATGGATGGAAGATTTGTAAGATGGGTAGTTGCAGCATAGAACATTCATGAACACATAAGCAGAATCACCAGCTGACATTCAACACTGGCACATAAGAATTTATATATTGTTACGATTTTGCTAAATCAACTCGATGATTTTCCGAATCCTTCGGGTACGATCTCTGGACTGTTAAATAAAACTCGCCAACTTAATTTGCAGTTTCTTTCGTTATAATTATTAATCTAATGTCCTTTATTTTCTCAGTAATTCACAATTCAATTACAATGCACTTTACTATTTAAATCACTAGCATCAACTTTAACAATTTACTCTACTTAAATGTAATTCCTAACGCGTTTACTTCACGACTTTACCGATGTTAACGCCACGAGTTAACTTTTTAACTAACTCTTGGCAGCTGAGTGTCGCTTTTATATAGCAGTCAGCTGCTTGTAGACGAAAAAGTAGAATACTCGTACTGTTCGCTATCGATTTTCGCGTTATCGTTTCTAGAATGTACTAATTATCGGCTTCTCTCTTTCATCTGACATTCGCCTCGCAATTTCGCAACACTGCCCTCCACCTAAGTCTGATCGTCCCGATCAGACACATTCGCTGTTCCAAACTCAGCAAGTCTCTCCAGGTGGACCACTTTCATCTTGTTTCTTGTACTCCCAACGGTTTGGATCCGATACACTACGTCATTTAGCCGTTTGATTACCTTGTATGGACCTTCCCAATTACATTGAAGTTTTGGGGACAAACCCCTCTTCCGTTGTGGATTGTACAGCAACACCAAATCTCCATTTTGGAAACCTTCGGAGTTCATCGCCTTGTCATACCTGGCCTTCATTTTGTCACTCATAACTTGAGTTCGCTGTCTCACAAGAGCATGTACCTCTCTTAGCTCTTCCTCGAGATCGGTAGACGTTACCTTCCCAATTCTTCTCGCATCGCCAGTTATTCCAAACTTTAAATCGATGGGCAACCGTAGCTCACTACCAAACAGTATCCTCGCAGTTACATGCACGGCGGATCGATATCCCATCGAGAAAAGCGGTATATTCACATCACAGTCATCCTGACGCTTGACCACTACTTTCCCCAAGTGCTCTACCATACCACCTGATTAAGGATGTAGGGCTGTCGTTCTGGCTTTTCAAACACCAATTATCTGGCACATCTCCTGAAGTACCGCCGATTCAAAGTTTCTTCCCTGATCTGAATACAATTCTATAGGCGCACTGTATCTGGTAATCCAATTGTTAGTGAATGCATTCGCAACTGTAATGCCTAGGTGCCCTCTACTAGGACCGTTATGGAATTCCTTAAGAACATCCCGAATTCTTAACTTCGGAACTACTATTAGCATCCGGTAGCACTGGCCATCTTCATTTTTCCGCACTCTAAACAAACAGCCGGATATCAGCTCTAAACTGTTCCATTGTGCCCAGTATGAATTCGCGATAGGACTTTCCGCAGTCATTTGTTCATTACTTGGTCGTCTATTCACCTCCAACCCGTGCATTAATAATTCTAAATCTGGGTCTTCTTGCTGACATTTCCTTGCGTTACTTGACTCGCATTCTTCTGCTTGCATAACTTTCATTAGCCAGACGTCTATTATGTCTTCTTTACCCTCAAATTTTGAGCAAGGTTTACATTCTATATTACATGGTCGACGGGACATAGCGTCCGCATTTCCGTGCGTATTACACTTGCGGTGCTCGATTGTGAAGTCATAACTTTGCAGCCTCTCAATCTACCGTGCTTGAACAGTAGTGGCCAATTCAGCGCTGCTTGATCCGTTCTAACTCGGAAATGTTGACCACAGAGATATTTGTGGAAGTGTTTGATGCAATCCACCTAGGCTAACAGTTCCCTTCGTGTCACGCAGTACTTTCGCTCTAGCTTACCAATAGACCGGCTATAGTAAGCAACTATCCTCTCCTACCCATCAACCTCTTGCGAGAGTACACCTCCTATGCCATAACCATTAGCATCTGTGTCCAGAATAAATGTTGCACCTGGAACCGGGTACGC